TAATACATGGTAATAAAAAAATAAACTCTTTCTAATCCCTATCCTCTTCTCAGTAGAATCACTGTTAGTAGGTGGGCTTCCAGATGTTTTCCTGCATACATAAACTTGGAGGAGAGATCCATCAGTACCCAAGATCATAGTAGTTCATCCTCTCTCTCCATTTTTTCCACTTTGTAGGAAGGATTGTGTCTAATTTTCAGATCCACCCAAAAGAAGACTGTTTGCTAGTAATACTGTGGAGTAGATTTCTCTAAGTGAAATTACCAAACAAAATATTATGGGTAACTTAAATTTCTATGGATAAAGCAAAACAGGAAGAGATTATACAAACTATACTCCTATTAATAGAGTATTAAAATTTCATTTTCTTATATATTCAACAACACTGGGTATTATTCATCGTTTTCATTTTTGTTGATTTGAGTTAAAAATTTTTTTTAAATACTTCCCTGATTACTTATGAAATTGAATATCTTTGGGATTTTCTTTGACTTCAGTGATTTTATCAAATCTTCAATTTCTTTTTTTTTTTTTTTTACTTATTTGTTTCTCCTCTTTATATATTATGGACATCAACCTTTTGCTATTATGTTTGTTGTAAATATTGTCTCCTGATCTTTTTGGCCCTTTGACTTTGCTCACAGTGCCTGAGTATAGATGTTCTTAATTTTTATGTGGTCAGATCTGCCTATCTTTTATTTTATGGTTTCTTTGTTGTGCATCTTGCAAAAAAAGGCCTTCTGACCTCAAGATATTTAAAAGAAAAAACATTTTCCAGATTTTTTTGAAGTTTAGACCTATTAATTTTTAGTTAACTTTTGATATCTTAATATAGACCACCTCCTCATTGTTCTTCTTATAATTTTGGGGTTTTTTTTTTTCCCAATCTCTTATCTATTCTTCCAGTTGCAGTTTAAAATCACTTTGTCAGGCTGGCCAGTTAGCTCAGTTGGTTAGAGCACACTGTTGATAATACCAAGGTCAAAGGTTTGGATTCCTCTACCAGCCAGCCACCAAAAAAATAAAATAAAAATAAAATCACTTTGTCAAGGACTATAAGGATTCCAAGTGAAATGTCATTAATTTGAATAGTTGATGAAAACTGATATGTCTATAATATCTTCTTTTCCCAGCCAGGAAAGTGGTACATATTTACATTTATTCAGCTCTTCCTTGGGGTTCTTAAGTAAAATTTTATATTTTTTCATATAAGATCTTCATGTTTTACATTCTGTTTATTCTTAAGTATTTTCTACATTTGTTGTTGTATACACACACACACACCCCTTGGCTACAAATGTTTGTTAATATTTTGCTTAGGATTTTTTGAATTATAGTTTTTCTAGTTGTTTATTTAATGTGTTTAAGAAAACTATAGCATGCTAGTCCATTTTCTGTCACTTCCCAGCCAGTGATTTATCATCTTCAAATCTCTCTGCTTCTGCTGTCACATCACCTTCTATCTCTCTGAATGATGTAGCAGTATTATTCACAATAGCCAAAAGATGGAAACAATTCCAGTGTTTATCAGCTGGTGAATGGATACACAAAATTGCTGAATACTAGTCAGCAATAAAAAGAAATGGATTATAAAAAGGAACAAAATACTGATGCATGCCACAACATGGATGAACCTTGGAAACATTATTTTAAGTGCAAGAAGCCAGACCCAGAAGATCACATATTGTATGACTCTATTTATATAAAATGTCCAGAAAAGGCAAATCTATAGAGACAGAAAGTATGCTAGTGGTTGCCTGGGATTAAGGGTAGGAACAGGAGGTGACCACAAAATGGGCACAGGTTTCTTTCTGCAGTGATGAAATGTTCTTAGATTATGGTGATGGTTAAAAGTGGTTGCAAAATTACTGAAAATCACTTGATAATAGAGGAGAGGATCTGGGAAGGCCCTGTAGACAGCCTCAACCCACCCTATCTTCTGGAAGGTTCTTGACTCTGCCCCAGAAAGAATTCAAGAGCAGAGTCACAGTACAAGGTGAAAACAGGTTTAATGTTATGAATAAGAGATAAAGACTTCACAGGCCAAGTGTAGCCTAGCTCCAGAGACTGAGCAGGGCCCACACCAAGTTTAACACAAAAGGAAGAAATGAACACTTAACGTGTAGTGCAAAGGGTAGGCTGGCTCAAGAGAGTGAGCAGCTGCCCATTAGAAATAAGTTTAACACAAAAACAAAGTATACACATCTCACCTGGCGAAGTGCGTGTTGGCCCCAGGAAAGCAAGCAACCAACCACAGCAAGTTTAATACAAAAGTAAGAAATACACATTTAAAGACCAAGAGCAGGCTGGCCCGAGTGAACAGCAGCCTGCAAAAGGCAAGTTTGATATAAAAAGAACTGCACACTTCTCAGGAAGTGCAGGCTGGCCCCAAAGAGAGTGAGCAGCAGCCCCAACTTCTACCAGGATTCAACTTTTATAACTTCACTATCTAACACATACTCATGCCGTTGGTGGTTCCCAGTTACGTAACATAGCCTTGCACATGCTCACTTGGTCTCTTTTGGAGCATGCTCATTGGTTAAATTCCAACATATTCACTGAAAAACACTTAGAAATAGCGCTCTCCAGTGCCCCTAGTGGAAGGTCATTCAAAGGATAAACTCCCCTCTACTGAGCATGCTCAGCCCTTGGAATGAAACAAATCTGCACCTTTTGGTCTCAATTTCCCTGTTGGTGCTGAAAATAGGCGCAATTAGCAACAGTAACTCTCCTCTAGGGGTGGGCCTAGAGAAGAGCCCTGAAATCTTGGGGAATGGCTTGAATCTCAGTGTCCTGAAACCTGAACCGAAGAAACTGAGCCACTACTATTTCATACTGAATTGTAAACTTAAAATGATTAAATTTTATGGCCTGTGAATAAAGTTGTTTTAAAAAACATAGCTAGGGCCGACCCCGTGGCGCACTCAGGAGAGTGCAGTGCTGGGAGCAATAGGCGCAATTAGCAACAGTAACTCTCCTCTAGGGGTGGGCCTAGAGAAGAGCCCTGAAATCTTGGGGAATGGCTTGAATCTCAGTGTCCTGAAACCTGAACCGAAGAAACTGAGCCACTACTATTTCATACTGAATTGTAAACTTAAAATGATTAAATTTTATGGCCTGTGAATAAAGTTGTTTTAAAAAACATAGCTAGGGCCGACCCCGTGGCGCACTCAGGAGAGTGCAGTGCTGGGAGCCCAGCGACACCCCCGCCACGGGTTCGGATCCTATATAGGAATGGCTGGTGCGCTCACTGGCTGAGCGCGATGCAGGCGACACCAAGCCAAGGGTTGCGATCCCCTTACCGGTCACGAAAATGACAACAACAAAAAAAATTAAATTAAATAAATAAATAACATAGCTAGAAAATTAGCAGACAATTAAAATGTTAATTAAGACTTTAATTTGGGGAAGCATTTGTGAGAAATGTCAGTGGATAAGTGGTTTTCTGGAATTTATTTCCTTATATGTACTGTAACAGAAAATAGGGCAGGTACCAACTGCACTAGACTTGGGGAAGATTCAGTGATTGATTCCAGAAATATTTTTGTGCCAGGTTATTCCATACACATGACAGTCAGTTTAAAAATACACACAAAAAACAACCCTGTCTTCCTGGGGGAGTTCAGTCAAGTGAGAAGAGACAGATACAGCCATAGGATGTTAGGTGACCAGAGAAGGACAGGATGTGTGGGAGGTGATTAGAGAAGGCCTTACTGAGAAAATGACACGTGAGTGAAGACCCCAAGGGGACACGGGCTGGCCACTGGGATCCCACGGAGGAGAGGGAACAGCCAGGACAAAAGCCCATAGTGGGGGCCTGCCTGGTGGGTTTGAGATGTGAGGACAGCAGAGAAACCAGGCTGCCCAGAGCTGAAGGACCCAGGAAGAGAACAGCAGGAATCTTCGTAGAGAGGTACAGGTGAGGGGACGGATCCCCACCACCTTGCAGGTTACTGTAAGGCTTTCGGTTTTGGCCATGAGCAAGACGGGAAGCCTTTCGAAGGTTCTGAGCCGAGGGATTTACATTTCCACAGGATCCAGCTGGTTGCTGTGTTGAAGACACAGCAGAGAGGTGGGCACAAGACTCCATACGTGGGACTGTTTCAATAGAGAAAGAGACCATGGTGGGGCATGGCCCAATCTGGAAGAAGTGTTAAGAGATGGCTAGATCTGGATATACGCGTTTGAAAGGAGAGTCAACAGGACGGATGAACGCTCGGGCGGTGTGAGAAAAAGACGTATCGGAGTCAATCCGCCTCATGGAGAGGCTGGGATGGGGAAGGGTCGTGACTGCAGCAAGGTCGGGGTGAGGAAGAGACTGGAGTTGGCTTTTCAGTTCTCCGCGTGTTGGAGACCAGAGGCGCCCCCTCGCTTCCCTCTCCCGGTCTCGGGCGGTCGCACTCCACAGGCCCGCGAGGTGGCGGGAAGCGCGCGCCCGCCTGAGAAAGCCAGGAAAACTCCCACTCCCAGCGTGCCCCGCGGCAAGGCCCGGGGGCGGGGTCTGCGTGCGCGTGCGCCGTGGCGGGCCGCGCTGGCGGGGG